AAGAAACAGTGTGGTGGGTGCCTCACTAGTCGCCGACGCTGCGGCCACTCTGTTCGACACGCGGCGAATGTTGTCGCTTGCGCTGATCGCGTTTTTGTACTCTTGCTGATCCAGTAATTTCAGTGGCGCCGAGTCCTCTCTCTCCTTATTCATCCGCCAGGACACCGTGTGTGTCAGGACCCATTCATTGTCCTGATGACGGTGGACCCTATTAGCATGCCTCCGACCTCATTGCGTATAATCCTGTGTGATTCTCATGTGTGCTTTGCTGTCCGCTGCGCTCTTCGGCATAATTTTGCTCGGGCGCAGTCGTTAACGTGCGTGCGCGCACCTAGTGGCTAGTCGATGAAGCTCTTATTTGGAGCGTTTGCATGATAGGTGTGTGTGTCCCCAACTCAGGCGCACGAGTAGCTAGGCGGTCTCTATACGGTGGGGGAGAGAGTGAGTTTGACCCTCGGCGCGTTTCTCTCCTCACTATACTAAATCTGAATGTGCTTGAATCTATCACGGTGCGCTAAAAGCCATGGCTTGGAGGGTTTGCCAACTGACGAGAAGAGGAAGCACTATGTCGGACAGGGCCCATTGGCGGCTCCCGCATGAATTCATTTATCATGTAAGGAGTTTCCGTTATATTTAAACCTGCTTCCTGACCCCCCATCACGTTTTGGTGGCAACACAGCCTTACGTTGACTGGATGTGGTTGTTAGTACAGTGGTTGAAGCCACATCTACGCGGGCAACACACACATCACGATCCCATATCCACACATATTTTTTTAATGAGGGAGGTTCCGATCCTACGTAGCGGTGAGGGTGATGGAGGTTACTGGAGAAAAGGAACCTTTTCAGCCTGACCATTTAGTTATAAAAAGAAGATGCGATCTCTGAAATAATAAGTTTATTGGCATAACGTTTCGGATTCTCGCTCGAACCCCTCCTCAATGCCAGGCACAAACATATGCGTTTTTGTACTCATTTGGTAGGAAATTGCGTAGAAATTACTAAGACAAAGTGTATCTTTTAATTCTCGAATGATTTGGAACTCGCCCTTCAGTCCCACTTGCGTTTTGTATGTTTTCTATGAAGGATAAATTATACCTTACTCTACGCTATAAAACGCTGCCATACAGGTCTCGTAAGAGTTTGCTATATATGTGGACCATTTTGTTATATGGGCTACGATGCACACACACACACACACACACACACACACACACACCATTTTGTTATACTTCACGAGCATCATTCACAAATGAACAGATAGTCTGTTTTCTGGTCGGACCTAACATTGTTTTGGAAAATCTTACAAATATACACTTGTTAAAAAACGGCGAGACACGTTTTCTTCAAGTAGCATACTTGACGAGTACGTAATTTGCTATTAAATGAACACCAAAAAGATTATTTGCGCATACTTCCGTAACATATATTTGAAGTTATAAGTGCATCGGATATTAATAGCAAAACGTCATACTGCTCCAGCAGTCATATTTTACGGAGTCTAGTTTTGTCATGAACGAAGCTCTTTCAAAGGCCGACATTCCGATGTGACTAGATTATTCTGATCGATAACCAGCACTAAAATTCCACTTTCAAACGTAAAGCCCATTTCTGATTTTGGTTTAACGTTTCATGAAATAGGCCAGCTTAATTGACGCTTTTCTGTCCAGGTAACTGTTGATGGGTGGCATATGTGATCGACGTTTACACAGCATGTGCTTCGATATTCTCGAAGATTTCTCGTTTGCATGCTCTCATGTGTTTGCAGATCGGGTTTATTTAACTGCCCTTAAGTCATCACCGATATCTTCTGTCTCCTCATTTCGTAAAACAGTTATCAGCTCAAAATCCAAGGAAAGCTTTGACCTACTAGACAGATAGGTTGACTTAATACAAGCGAACATGCGAGTCCCAGGAAGTGATTAAGAAGTGGAAGACGATTCGATTGCCGGGACAATGTGTTTATTCGCCTGACGTTTCGAAATCCGTCGCGGATTCATCCTCAGAGACATACTCACAGAACAGTAGCAGAAAAAGTTTGTGTGTGCACAGGGTTCTGCCGTAAAATTTATACGTACAGCGCCTTGAGTGTGCGCTAATTCTTTGCGTCAGCAATGACCATTTGGCCTTGTGGTGTTGGCATAAGATGATGTGGTGGCTTGTGTGTTCCCGAGTGGC